TTACTATAGCCTTACCATCGTGAAAGTTAGTTAGTTAGTCGTTAGTTTTCCCACAATTGTTTCTGGGTTCTTACCTTTGGGCACCTGCACTAGAGTGGGTGAACTTATGATGATGCACTGAACTGCTGTGTTTTGCTATTCTATTCTATTCCATTTTATTCTATACTCCATATACTACTGTTCCATACTATTCTATAATGATCTATACTGGTCTATTGTATTCTAAAGACTTACAGTATTTGCTGAAACAATTTTCCTAAAACCAATGATAAGGAACTCTTTTTCTTGTCTTGTCTTCTTGAGCAAAACATTGAAAGAAATTAAATAGAAAAGACACACATACAACTCACATGTAACTGTATTCAAGGACCTTACTTTCAGAAAACCTGGATGAAAAACTTTGGTAACATCAACAACACCATGTTACTGTATATCACCACAGATGGTGATATAACATTGCTTAGAAATCAGCTGCCTGACACAGACACAGTGATTCATACGCTTTTGATTCTCAAAACTATTAATGTATGTCCCACAGTATGCTAATTAATTACAGCATTAAATACAGCAACACATTTCTTTACGACTTTATGACAGAATAAAGAAAAGATCTTACTATTTCTGCCTCTTTGGTATAAACAGTATTCTTGTGACTCTCTTCTGTGTATGTGTGTGTGGTTAATTGAAACGTAGAATAACACTGAGTAGGAAAAATCCTGAGAGTAGTCAAGTAGAAAAACAAGGCAATGCTGGAATGAGATGTTCTGATGTGCCCTGAAGGAGTTCTTCTAAGTGGAGTGCTGTGCTTAAATGACTACGAAAGTGCTTGTTGTCCTTCTATCTCTCCATGCAGAATTTTCTTCTGCATCACACATGTTCATCAATAGGGCTGATGTGGAGTCATAGCAACATGCATTGCTACTTAAGGGACCAGCTTAAATGCAGAAAAGCAGCCATTATTTTTAGCGTCATTCCGCAGTCGTTTCTGCAGCTACATGGGTTGTGAATGCAAAATACTTGTCTTATTTATACGGTACACAAACTGTACCTTATTTGTTCTGATTCTATTAATATGCTTAATGGAAGAGAAGTCTGTCTATTTTTAACATTATAATTAATTCATGTTTTAAGGCACAAGAAGCATATGTTCTAAATTAAATGAAGAGTAAAGAGCAATGAAATCTAGGTTGAGAATGAAAAGGTCCTCAAGCCAGTCTTAATCAAAAAAAAAAAAAAAAAAAAAAGAAGAAATCACCTAAACACACTCCTGCTTACTCTGGAAGTGTGACAGAAGGCTCTGAATCATAAGCAAACTCTGGTCTAAGACCCATTTAAGTGAGAATTTAAATTGGCAAGCCACCTTAAGTGACAGCAACTGTTGAGTCAGATAGGCTTCCTCAGTGATTTGTCATGTGACATCTTCACTCCCACCTAAACACTGATTAAAGTTTGTACAATGTACAGGCCAAGAAATTAGTAAGAAAGGTCAAAATGTTTGCAGATGATGTAATAATTTATTTTTTAATTTTTAACTAAGTCCATAAGGAGCTAGTGCAACAGAGATCCTCCAGAATGAAAGAATCACAACTGCCAACTTCATTATATGCTTAAAATTATTCATCTTTTTTCTTTTGCTTTCATCTGGTACATAGTGATGCACCCGCAGATAAGTTCAGGGTTACCTCATTATCTTTGCCCCTAACTGCAGCACATACTGTAGCTCAGTAACCCTACTGAATACTGTATCCCTGAGACGAATGTTCTCACACATAAAACATGCAAAACAAGACTCATACAGATTTAAACACCTGCTATACATCCCTTCTAATCTGCTGACTGGGTGAATAAAGGACCAGTGTTAACTATGAGGAGTGGTGATGGGAGACTTTTGGTTATACAAAAATACAGCACACTACAAGAACCCCTTAGGGGACAGGAGATCTGCAATGCTCTTAGGAAAGATAACACTATAGACACTATAGAGGCCAATGCACAAAATGGGTCAAAAGTCTGTGTGACAATTGTGCACATTTTAGTAAACTATTAGTGTTTCAAACTACAATAAATTCAAACTAAAATATTATGTTTTCAAAAAAAAATCTCAGCTACAGGGAGTTCTTCACTCCATTCCAGCGAGTTAATCAGCAATACTCTTGCTCCAGAGGCATGACCACCTCAGTCCCTTTTTTAAATTTAAATCAGCTGTATACCTTCTTGTTCACATTTACTGGACACGTATATAGAACAAAGAATGTGTTGAAAGAAAACCTGAAGGCATTAAAATGAAGATTTTCTTTCCATATTAACGATGGATCCCTTCCAACAGCACCATTTGCCTACATTTTCAGACACTGTAGTCATTACCACTCAGCAGGCCCATCAGATAAATTATACATTTTCATATCTTTTAGGTTGTTTGCTGGTCCAGCCTCATTGTTATCATCAACATTTTCTTTCCAAATAGAGGTGCAGCACATTAGTACAAACTATAACTGCCCAGTCACATGGTGGGTCAATTTCACATGCAATTTTATGCCTGATCACCAGACGCTGCACATTCACAAGTGACACGACCACTTCACATTTTTCTGAAGCATTTGCAGTGCAACTGTCCATAATACTTCATAAAACACCACATCAACGTCACAGATCTCCACTGAAAAACATTATGACAGTAAATTGAGCTTCTTCTCGTTGATTAAACTGTCACATGACTATAATACATGGACTTCCTCTGCTGTGAGCCGGCAACTGATGAGGTAAATACAAATTAACACACACACACACACACACACACATATATATATATATATATGCACTATATATTTATATATGAAAATATATAGTGTCTGTTTTCAAAGCCTAAAATTTGAGCAAAGACAGCAAGAGCTGTTGGCATGCATAAAAACAAAGTTTTCAACAGAAACAGTTATTGACAGGCTGGAGAAGCCAATAAATGTCTAGCTTCAAATAACAGTACATATTTCTCAAGCTTTAGCAAAGTTTGACAGAAAGAAAGACAACCGAGGGAAATATTGGACTTCCATTGTTATGTCTGCTGAATGTGTAAATTAGAAAATGATGTCTGACAAGTTTCCTCTTTACTGCTGTTCAAAACCACACAAAACAATCTTAAAAGTGTAAATAAGCTTTAAAACAAAGTGACCTTATAATTATTAAAAATACATACTTTAACATCTCTCCGAAACTCAAACAACAGTGACTCATGTGTCCAGAGTTGTTCACACTTTGAGTAGAGACAGGTCAAATGAATAAGAAGATTATGCATCGTCTGGAGTCTTGCTCGCGCTCTGAAATACCTCCTACTTCATTTGCTGTACGCAGACACACAAACACCAAGCCTCCCCTGACAGCGTGCTGATTGATTGGATATTGAAACTGGTCTGTCAGTGTTCTTTGGAGAGGTACTCATCTGATAATGAATGCAACACCTTGCATGGGAGCTAATTATATTAGAGGCACAGCTTCATTTTGCAGTTTGTTTTTCTCAGTCCTAGCTCAACTGGGAGACAAAGTCATGAGGCAATGCAACCCACCTCAACAGCTGGGCTCCTCAGTAGCCACAGTAATGATTTTCAACAGCAACGCCCACCTAATCTAGCTCTAAAGTTGGTCTACAGCCAGCTATGATGACACTGTCCAAATGGTTTCAGGCTGATTAAATGTATTAAAATTACAGTGACAGATGTGAACAGTGTGGCAACGTTACCTGATCTGCCACAGCACGGGCCAATTTGTCCATCCTTGACCCAGCCTCTGCAATCTTCTTTGCAGCGTTGATGACATCGGAGGAGTTCTTCAACGGGCCTTTGCCTCTGGAAGAAAGAAGAAAGTGTGGTTGGGGCTGCAAAAGTGGACATGCAGAAGTTTCATTTAAAGACTGAGCACTGTGTCATGCAGGCTCAGTCAGCGGCTAACTGACCATGGTAGGAGAAGATCACAAGATTTGTAGATCTCTCTTCTGAGATGTTCATCGTTATAAGT